CAGGGACGCACTTTCCAGCTTACAGCAGAGGAGGTCAGGACAGAGCCAGATGCAGCTGCGGGTATGTTTCCATCTTGTTATCTTGTTATTGGTGTGGTATTGTAAATATGTATGCATTGTTCCGCATGTTTCGTAGTATGATTGAGGACCTTAGTAGTTAGGAGTTGTAGTTGGTTAGCATTCAGGAGGATTCTTGGTCGAAAGATAAGGTTTATGATCTCGTTGCTAGGAATAGCAACTGCGATGCGAGAAGTGTTCAGTTGAGATTCGAACTTCCTTGGAGTTCGGGTGTGCGATGGCGGAAGGGTTATTCGGTGAAGGTTACTCACTCCCGAGGGAGTCAGTTCATGGTTAAGAGGGAATATATGGAGTAAGGGCGATTGAGCTATGCCGGTTTTGGGCATTGGTGGTTAGTAGTCGGTGCACTAAGTGGGGGAGAATTGGAAAATTCTCCGGTGAAACAACATGCATCCAAGGATGGTTAGCTATTTGGATTTCAGCAGTGTTTTGTTGAGGGTGTGGATCGGTGAGAGCAAGTAGTAGACAAGTGGGGCGGAGCACAGACCATGGTTTTCGGAAAAGGTGACTGATTGTTGTAAGGCCTAGGGTTAGGCCGGGAATTGAGTATATGGAATGGAGCTGGAGTTCGGAACCCCAAGAGGGCTAGAACAGTATGCATGGGAGAGATTCCCAGGAAGAATGGTTCAGGATGGCGTATGACAGTTTTGAGCGGTCCGGATAGACTGAAGGCCGGAAGGCGTACCAGTCAGACCGAAGGCTCGGGGAACGGTCCAGACAGGCTGAAGGCCCAGGAGGGCGGTCCAGGCATGCTGAAGGTTCTGAGAGTGGTCCAGATAGGCTGAAGGCCTGGTAAGGCGGTCCAGTCATGTTGAAGACTCTGGATATGTTAGTAGATCTGTATGTGGAGAATGAGTGAATATGTCGCCATGCAATAGTAATCGATATGGTCTGGCCCCAAGTATTGATCATGATGATGAAGTTGGCTGGAGGCCGTGCGTGGGCCTTGTTAGTTATGTGATCGGATTCGGAGTATATGGGAGTTCGAGAATAGCAGTTGCTCTACATGGATAGTGTAGAGTGGAGTTTAGCTCTGTGGCACTTATAGGTGCGGTAAGGGTTGTTGAATAGACTTCCTGGAAAGGGAAGGTATGTAGCTCCGGAAGGAGTTTGGGTCCTCTGAAAGGAAGGCAGTAGAGTAAATGGATGATCGAAAGTGCTTGGTAGTAAGCACTGGGATTGTACCAGATATATGGAAGCACATACAGGTTGGATGCCCGTTGAGGTTATGGCAATGTTGGATGATGCGCATGCATGTTTTTAGTCTCCTTGGAAGAGGAGGAGGATAGTGGTTCCAGATTGGAGATTGGGACAGAGGAAGGTGAGACAGCAGGTTAACAGACTCGGGAGTAGTCTGGATCGGTGCTGAGGACTGTATAAGGATATTACAGTCGGAGGTCAAGGACCTAGAGATCGTGATAGGGAGGTGTGAGTGGGTTGCACTCTGTTGTGTCGAACCGAAGGGTTCGAGGGTGACACAAGGACAAGGTCCTTAGTTCCGAGTATGGTTGTAGGCTTGAGTTATGTATGTGGAGGTATTCCAATCTGGGGTATTCCATTATGAGGATTCGTTCCAGGTTGCAAGTTATCAGGGTTATCGCCAATTTTGGGCGAAGGAAGATGGATTAGTTTCTTAGCAGAGCTCAGTGGGTGTTTGTGGAATCTAGCGTTGCAGGGCGCGGAAGCGTGTCCCTGATATGAAGGGTTATTATTATCGGGTGATTCGTGGTTAATTCGTGGTGCTATTGAGTTGAAAGGCCGATGATCGGCTTGGAATAGTGGCAAGGATGCCACGTGAGAATAAGCCATTTTAAGAGAGATGCAGAAGTAGGGTTTGTAAGAGTATGAGTTGATTGAGAAGTCGGAGTCTACAATGCAAGGGGTTCGTTCTGAGGCGTATACTGCAGTAGGCTTCGAGGACGAAGCCTAATTTAAGTGGGGGAGAATTGTAACATCCCAAGTTCGGAAGCAAGAAGTTGAAGGGTGCAAAGTGTAAATTTAGGAAAGGGACTCGACGAGTAGGTCCGCTTACTCGCCGAGTCGGAGCGGGGTTCTATCGCGGATTAAGTGGCCAACTCGCCGAGTCGGCGGCTTGGACTCGACGAGTTGGTGCTGGAATGAGAAAACCCTAATCCCGAGGGTTGCACCCTATTTAAAGGACATTATGTCCTCCTCCCAGCCTCCTAATCCCCCAGAGAGTTCCAGAAAACCCTAATTTCGTGTGAGACTTCATTGTTGAGGAGATTGGAGCTTGGAAGAGGAATTTGGTGGAAGGAGCTTGAGAAATTGGAGGCTAGCATCAAGGGGCTTGTGTAGATCTGGAATCTACATCAACTTGGGCATGTCTCAGAGGTAAGGAGCCATTATCTTAAGCTATTTCCTTTTTGGTTCATCCTTGGTGGTTGATTTGGAGTTCCTTAGCTTGTTTGAGATCTATTTCGGGTTTGGAGTTTAGATCTGAGGTTGCTACTCCAGATCTAAGCTTGTGATGGTCCTTAATGCCATAAAGCTCCTGTCTAAGAGTTATTGGTGAAGCCCCTTTGTCATAAACCCTAGCCCTAGAGTGTTTTGGGCTTATATCTCCTTGGTTTCACGTAAAGTTTGCAACTTTATGTGAGGGTTAGGCTGTAGAAGAGTGGATCTATGGATTGGAGCCCCTGCATGGCTCGAAAGGCCTCTGTATGGATTGAGAACTGAAGAGACTCGGCGAGTCACATGGGTGTACTCGACGAGTTGTATGAACATGTGCATGGACTCGGCGAGTCTGTTGAAGATTGTCTTGGACTCGGCGAGTCTGTTCTTGGACTCGGCGAGTCTGGTCGCGGAACTCGACGACTCTGTGAGTTGAGCAGGATGGGACTCGGAGATCGTTGAACTCGACGAGTCTCGGGGCGACTCGGCGAGTTGAGTCGTGTTATGGGAGTTTCTGGGGGATACTATGATGTTTAAACTATTTTGAAAACGAGATGTATGAACTTAATAGTTTTTGAATGAATTAAAATGTTTTAATTTGGTTGAAATTTTTGGTCGTTACACATTTACAGAAAAATTGACGTCATCTCCTGCTTATATTAATGACTATGAGATTCATTTTCGCTTCACTTCAAAACATAACCCATGAAAGAACATTATTCATACATGTACAACTTTGTAATTCACTTGAATATTTATTAGCGGAATCTTAACTAATCAGGTGCATTTCATGACTGCATTTATGTTTCCAATCAAATGATTTATCGTATCATGGATTCTGGACAAGTCTACAAACGAGTGGAATCCCAAGTGCTGTGATTTTTGAGTTTACTTGGCTTTAAGATCGAATTCATGGGAGAAGATACAACATCAATATGTACAAGATCATGCAGCTTTTGCAGACACATCACCATAATATACCTTAAGGTAAACGGTTATGTTGATAAATATACCTCTCATACACAGTCATATCCTTTTCCAGAGAGGTGTTGACAGCTAACCATAGTAAGCATAACATAGACCATGTTTTAACGAAGCTACCCCTCCGAAACGCTCTTCATGTACGTTATGGCCAAAGAAGGTTGCAGTCTTTGATACTTTTGCAACTTTAATTTTATTTAACTTTTTGGTGAAAATGACTTAGGAGGGTAACCAACTGTAGAGTTTGTTCTCATTTGGTCCATTTCCTTTTTTTGTACTCAATATACCATCGAACTTGATAGCCGGTCAAAAGGGTTATGGTGAACACAAACAACAAGTTCGATGGTATATTGAGTACAAAAAAAAAGGAAAGAGACCAAATGAGAACAAACACAATAATTAGTTACCCTTCAGAGTCATTTTCCCATTATATGGAAGTGCCGCCTTTTATTCTTTTAATGGATTATGTGGAAGTGCCGCCTTTTATAAGAAAATGTGAGTTTTGTTGTTTTTTTTTTTTAATTTTAAATTTGTCATTTAAATATAAAATCTACCAAAAATTAATTTATTTTCTTATTTATCCATCAAATCTACTAACCGAGGCATAATATGTAATAAAATGTTCATGTTAAGAAAAAGTTTTGACACTACAAAGATATCAGTTCTATTCCAATTTCATATCATCACTTAAAACTATTCAAAAACACAACAAAATATTTAAACTAATATACATCAAATCACAATAAATTTGTTGAACAAAAATATTCAAACCGTAATAATATTAAAAAAAATCTAATAATACAAAATATTCACCTTATGATCACTTAAAAAGTTGGATATACACTAAAGATGATACATATATAATTTTAAAAAATATATATAGAAAAAATAGTAATACTTACAAAGATTATAGTTTAAATTGTTGTAAAACATTAGTTTTTACATTAACCTTTAATAACTTTTGGTTTTTTAACATTATGATTTAAATATTTTTATTGGTATATTTATTATGATTTAACATATATTAGTTTGAATATTTTATTGTGATATACATTAGTTTGAAACATATTATTTCTCATTACATCTTATTGTGATATGCATCAATTAGTAGGTTTCATAGATAAATCAAAAAACAAATAATTTTTTTTAGATTTTATATTAAGTGATAAATAGGAAAAAAGGGGAAAAAAAATCTCACAGTTTAAATGGATTGATGGATGAGACAGTTTGATTATAAATAAGTAAACAAATTAATTTTTTAAACGATAACTAAGGGGGAAACGCTTAAACTTGTAGTTTTAAATAAGGGTAAAAATATCAAAACAATTTTAATTTAAGTGGAAGAATCAACTTAAAAAGTGGAAATATCATATCCCAAAATATATATATATATATATATATATATATATATTATATATATATATATATATATATATATATATATATATATATAAAGTAAAAACATAATAGATTTTTAAACTTAACGGGTTTTTTCAAAAATTCAGTTTCATGTAAAGCCCGGTTATTACATGGGCTATGAGTCTTAGTAATCTTGATTCGGTTAAGTTTAAACCCAGAACCGAGAGGGCCGAACCAGAATTGCACCAAAACCGAAAGTCAGGATTTTATAAAACCGAATACTGAACCGGAGTTGTTATTCGGTGCTGGATCGGTTCGGTTATTGGTTTTTTATTAGGTCCAATCAGATAAATACACGTGGTTTTTCCTAGAAAGCACTAGACGAAAACGCAAAATTCGCATTGCTAAAAAGAGATCTCCCTCCCCATTTCTCTCTCATAACTTCTTAGCCCTGATCTTTCGGTTGACGGCTGCTGTTTTAAACCCCCATTTTCACGGTAATCATTGCTGTTCATCTTCTCCATTAATTTCGTTATACTCGAACAAATTCGATCAGATCTAAACTTTATTCATCGATCTGTTAACTAGGGTTTTCACGCTGTGTTTCATTCGATTTTTGAAAATGGTGCTTCTGTAGGTTGCTTTCAAGTGTTCGTGTATCATATCCTTGTATAATAATGTGAGTAATCCGTCTCTTGAATTTATCCCTACAACTAATTTAATTGTTATGTTTGAAAGTTTGTTTTGTAAGTATTAATGTATTGGTGCCCTAAGATGCCATCATCCGGCTGAATTTGCATCGTTAACTCCTATTTATCAGATCAATTAGGAGTTAATCCCTGATTCGAAAGCAGAAATTCAAATCCATGATGTTATCTGAGAAAGCTTTTTCGAAGGCTGATTGCAACTAAAGAGAAATAAGCTTGATTTTGCTTCCAAGTGACTGTAACAGTTATATATCTTCAGTGGGATGTAACTGTGGATCGTCTGAATCCTTTTTCTGATGTTTGCCTCCATTAATAAGCTCGATAAGCTGGAATCAGTTTAGTTACAAACTACACAGTATATCATGCTGCCATGTATTCGATTTTAAAAATGATGTTTCTTCTGTCGAATCTTTCTTGATCTTCTGCATCCCAAATTACAACTATCTTGATAATTCATCGGCTGCTCATCCTGACAACACAGTTACTTTTAATACTTATCTCCCATTATTTGTATCCTGATTTGCAGACTTTGTCCTGTTTGAATGAATCGTTTGATAGTTAAGAGGTTTTCAAAGGTTTTATGTTCAAGCTCACATTGATAATATGTATCTTTATTTCTCCATTGAAGGTCGGATGAAGAACCAGTTGACCAGAAGAAATACTTTGAAGATTTATGCAAGCCAAAGTGTGTTAGAGCTTGGCTCGACTATCAGGTTTTCTATTATACCAGAAATTGAATATTTTCTCTTTTACTTTCCATAGCCCATAAAGTCCATGTACAAATACATCTGCTATCACATGTTTGTTTCTCTTTGCTTCTTTCTTTTTTATTGCAAATATATGGAGGAAGTCAGGAAACTTCCTTTTTAAGTTACAAATGAGTGAAATGACCAAATGGGTCTTTGCTGAGATCTTGAAATAACCAAGTTTCAGATTGTTTAACCACTCAAGTTTCATTCTTATACAACTTTATGTTTTTTGCTTCATTTCTATGTAATTTGAAAACAAAATTTATCATCACTAAACACTTATTAAAAATGTTATCTTTTTCTTGTTTATGACATGGTAAATCTATGTCATCACATAAACATTGGCATAATATTTTGGGTATTTTCTAAAAACAATAATTTATTTCTAATTTAGGCTATTATGATTTTCAGGGATGTGTGAAAAGGGTTCAAGCAGATGAAACTGGCCACAAACATTGCACTGGGCAATACTTTGATTACTGGCAGTGTGTGGACAAATGTGTAAGTTTATTATTATTTTATTTAAATAATAAATTTGATCCGTGTTTATCTTTATTTAATATTGAGGCTGATTTGAATGCAGGTTGCACCTAGGCTATTTGCAAAACTCAAGTAATGGAGATACATATTGAGGTCACATTTACGAGTGTTTATTTGTTTGCAAGAAAACTCATTTTTGGGTAAAACTGGTACCTTGAGTTGAAACATGAATAAGGAATGCCTTAATTGCCATGAATTTAGCTTTTTTGATGTTTATTTGTTGAAACCTTGAAAATTAAAATAGACCTTTGCAACAAGCAAGATCATGCTTTTACATCATTTTGTGTTTGTGGGTTTCGTTTATCTCTCACTTAAATACAACATGTAATGACACTATCTATAACATCTTCAAACAGATCATATTTGCATCATAATAATTAACAAAAATATTTTCTATTGTATCTGTCTCCATTGTCACACTTTAAGCAGATGTTAAAATTAGTCTCATTCTCCACAGCTTTCCACTTTTTAAAGGGTACTATTATTGACACATTTATTTTTTTAAGAAAATAAAACCATACATTTCTTGTGGAATATCCAATGAAAGTAATGTAATATCGATCATCCTATTGAAGAAACTAATATAGGTCTTACACATCAATATGTGCAAACTCTATTTTTTCTAGCTTTAGATGACATTTCCATCTTTGCAAATGTTACATTTTTTGTTTAACAAGAACACATGAATCACAGAAACCTATCACCTTCCTTAGATCTAGAATTATGTATTTTAAAGCTAGCATCTTTATACATTCCTCACTTATATTGTAACATCTTCAAAGGCACGTATCACAATATTTTCTGTTTTGGGTCATGAAAACTTCACAACGTGGTCACCGATCCTGGAATTGCTCTTTCCTCGGACACGCTTAAATGCAGAGTGCTTATGGGATTCACGATCCTCATGGCTTTAACAACACATTATGATAAGGAAGATAATCACACCCCTTATAAAGTAGAGTTTGATTCTCCTTCCCAGGCAACGTAGGATCACATATCTCTCCCCCATTCACCCCTTACTACAATGTTAGAGGTCCCTGTTGAACACATCGACATGTAATCTCTGACACCATTTTGTAACATCCACAAAGGCATGTATTATAATATTGTTCGTTTTGGGCCACCTAACAGAAAAACTTCCTAACGGGGCATCTATTTTCAATTTGTTCTCGTCCGGACATGCTTAACTGCAAAGTTTTTATGAGATCTATTGACCTCACGGCTTTAAAATGTATTGTGATGGGGTAAATATCCACACCCCTTATAAGACAATCCTTAGTTCTCATTCCCAGTTGACATATGATTAGGGATGATTTTAATCCCCTCCTTCACATCTCTATTTGTAATTGATTGTTATATTAGCATTTTTGTAACAAACAAGAGACGACGTCCCTCGTGGACACGATTTGGTCGCCAGGAATAGAGTGATGCGACATTGTAGCTATAACCAATTGTGTTGCCATGTCGTTGCATAGATGACAAAAGTGTTAGTGATTTTATATCACTAATGTTATTTAAGTGTAATGGGGTTAATTTGTTGATCAATGTCACTTTGACAATTATTGAACAAATCGGTATGGTGCGTAATGCACAATTGTTTAATATTGTCTTTGTTGAAAGTACACTGCTATTTAGGGGCGAAGCCCCTGAACGGCTGAACCGACGGGGGTCCGGGGGCAGCTCCCCTGGGAGTGGGGTCCAAGGGGCGGCAGCCCTGGCGGGGTCCAAGGGGCAGAGCCCCTGGCTGGGGTCGAAGGAAATTTTCTATATATGTTATGTTACTATATTAAAAATGCTTCAAAAATCCGGACTTTTGGTAAATGTATCCGGTTTTGTGATCCATATTCTAGACCCGAATTTAAGTTAGTTTATGACGTTTTGACAGTTTTAGGACATAAAACTGTCATGTGGCAGTTGTAAGACTGGAAGTTTTTCTGGTTATATGATCATATCCGAAATTTGTTGTTGGTACACTTCTTCTTCATAACATCTTGAATATTCTCTCTTCTGTTTTCTCAATTCTGAGTCTTATCCGATTAAAGATTGGGAGTACCACCCAAATACTTTAATCTAAAAGTAAAAACCACAATTCTCAGAATTTCCAAGCATTTTCTATACCCCAAAATCTTACAAAAAACTTTAAATAATTTATAAAGACGACTTGTCATCAAAGAAATGTCTTTGTAGCTACGAGCCTATGAAGCATGTAGTACCTTCTTGTAGTGTCTTCTCATTCTTAATAATACATGTTCTTCTTAGTAATACATATCCTAGAAACATCAATGATAAAGCCCACATGGGTCACATTATTAAAAAGTGTACATCAAATGAAAGAGAAAATGATAAATAATAAGAAGTAAAAGTTATTAAACTAAAATTTTTGAGGTAGTGTGCAATGATGACACTATTCCAACACCAAACACTCTATTCTTTTTGTTTCAAAACTGATGTATATTTTTAAAAACCAAAATAAAAGCAGTTCTGGTTAGCTAGTGAGACAACATTCACACATCTAGAACTCCAAATCAAAATTAATTATCAAAAACACAATTAACCAAAATATATATTTATTGCAATGGGACAAGCATCATGTGTATGAAGACTGTCCAACCTAGTAGACAATGGCAAAATGGGGTTGCAGATATTTTAATTAAGGGTTTGCTTTGATGCCCACTTTATGTTAAATGATTATGCACCTTGTTTAAAAATAATACTTACCATGTCATTAGGTGTAAGATTCCTCCATTAAATCATTAATATGTAATCCCCACTAAACAGTAAACAGCCGCTATAAAAGCCACCAATCCCACTAGCTTATTTGCCACTCGATCATACAAACTATAAAACCAATCTTTCTCTAATCTCTACAAGTACAAATAAACATTTATCATTCACCGAAATGGAAGGTGTGAAGCTAGCCACTTTTCTTGCCATTACAATGATTGTACTCATGGCCTTCACCAGTTCTGGAACGATGGCTCAGGAGTTTGAGGCAGCACCAGCACCATCACCATCAATGCAGAGCGCTGGAATTGCATTGCAAGTTCCTGCTTTACTTGCAGCCATCGTGTCTTTGGTGACTTGCCTCTTCTAAAGCAAGGCCGGATTTTTCTAGCATCTTTCTTATCTTAATAAACTTAACCTTTGCTATCTTCAAGAGTTCAATGTTTCAAACTTGTATTTCCCGCGTTTAGCTCTTCATTTGTAACCATAATTTCTTTTTAACAATTGCATTTACTATTCTCTACTGATTTTTTTTTTAATTTTTAATTTTTAATTTTTTTTTCTGGTCACTACTTTAATTTCCCTCAAATTTATCAATTTCTTTTTATACATTTAAGTAGTAACCAGGAAAAAAACAAACGAATTTACAATAAATATTAGATTAGATAAAAATAAAACTTTACCGTTCCAAAAAAAGGATGAAATTAATACTTTACCGCCCCAATATGGATCAATGCAAAAAAGTAATAGTAATACAAAAGACAAAGATGTACATTTTTTTAAGTATGTTTTAGAAAATACAAAAAATGCTGGTGAACAATTGTAATATTCTAAAAAATATGGACATTTTCATAAAAATAATAAAAAATTGGGTAAAACCTGTAAAAAAGATAAATATTAGGTTAAAAGTATAAAAGTATAAGTTGGAGAGGTTGGGGGTAGGCGTGGGCAGTCTAAGGCCCCGTTTGATAGTTGCTGACTGAGAAAGAGCTGACTGGGAAATGTCTATCCGGGTAAGAAATCTTGACTGAGTAAGAAACCATGTTGTTTGATTGTACATCTGACTCAATGTACTGATTAATAAAAAATGACCATTTTACCCTTCTTCCTAATAGCTTTTGAATATAAGCATGACAACATTTTATTACTTTTTATATGCATGTTCCAATAATTCAAAACAAATGATATTTAATAACCATATAACATTCAAATGATACAAAATTATACACACATACAAATGATATCACAATAAAAAAAAAAACAATCCAAGCCATAACATTAGATGAAATAAAAACCGACAACTATTCTGCCATAAATACATTCTATAACCACTCCACCAATCAGAAGTGAAAATCAATATAAATTCAGCCATTCAAACATTCAATTATATAGAAGATATATCCATCTGATAACCATATAGCCATCCAACCATTCATATGACACAAACGACACATAAATATGATATAAAAATCACATGAGATAACAATCGAAAAAAATATATTTAAAAGCCAAAAACATTAGATCATTTCAACAAAAATAAATAAATAAATACATAGTCGAAGCAATAACATTAGATAAAAACTATAACATGGAAATCGAGTGCAAAAAAAGTGTCGAAGGAAGAAAAATCAAGTTGAAGGCTTTATTCTTGACTCTTGAGACTTGAATCTGGAAACATTGAGCTTCTTGCGACTTGAATCTTGAGGATTTGAAGTTTGTATAGCACAAGGTTGGCTAGAAGACTGAAGAGACGAGAACCCCTGACTAATTTTTAATCTTGGACAAATAAATATGATTGTAGATTTAGGGCTTAGGATGATTGTAAAAGGTGAAGGGTGAAGAGTAAAGAATCGAAGAGTCGTGCTCTATGAAATCAGCAAAATCAGTAAACATATCCATGAATTCGAAAATTCAAAACAACAAAAGTTGAACTTTCAACAACATTCACCAAAAATCAAAACAACAATCGAAACGAGGAAGCAAAAATCGAAACAACAACTATTGCAGAAATCGATGTTGCTGGTCGATAATGGCTAAAATCGAAAGTATTATGAGACGAGGAAGGAGAAATCGAAAGTATTACCTGATGAGAAACCTTCGATCGGTGCTTGCTGGTGACGTCGCTTGATGGAAGAAAATAGTTGAAAGGGAGACGCTTCGTTAGGGCAAAGGGTATGCGTGGAATGTTTTCTTCCTTTCCCAGTCAGTCGAATTTCATTTCCTTTCCCAATCAAATGTATCTTTTTGAGTCAGATGGATAAAAATTGTTTATCAAACACATTTTGCTGACCGAGTCAGTCAAAAAGGTCTGACCCAACTCGGTCAGCCCAATATCAAACAGGACCTAAGTCTAGATCTACCAGCAAACACATTAAGACAGACCTTTTTGTTTTGACTCATGAAAAAATAAAAAGAAAATGACACATGAACTAACCAAAGCTTGTCTTAAATGTGGAAAGTAAGCACATAATTCAGGAGGTATGTTAGTTGATGTTAAAATAGGTTTATAAAATAAAAACATTTGGTATTAAAATAATAAAAACACTATTCGTCATGTTGCAAATTATACATGGTTTATAAAATTCATTAATTTCGATACTTTAATTTTTTTTAATAAAAACATTAAACAAGTTATAGCAATATATATAATTTATTTGTTGTTATAGATATAAATCAACATTGTTATATATATTTTTAAATTTTTTTAATAATTTTAAAATAAATAACAATTTTTTTTAATAAATAATTTCACATAAATCAAAAAATAATTAAAAATTATATTTATTTAACAAAAAAATTAGGTTAAAGTTGATTTATTAGTTAGTTACAAAAATTATGTTGGTTGAATTATATATTTATATACATATAAGAAATAAAAATTTGGGTGCCGGTAACTCCGTCTCCAATTTGATGGGCATTTGTTAAGCTAGCGTGGCCATGAACTCGACGGTTCTGCAACCAATCACCACCGGTCAGTCACCACACCCATCGACCTTCTTTCCGGAGCTCAAACAATGCAAGACGAAGCGGGATTTGATTCAAGTACACGCCAGACTTATCAAAACCGGACGCATCCGTGACCCACTTGCCTCCGCCGAGCTGCTCCGTTTCTACGCCATTTCCGACCCACCTCTCCGAGACCTCCAGTACGCCCGCCGCCTGTTCGATCAAATGAGCCAACCCAACTGCTTCTCTTGGAACACCATCATCAGAGCTCTATGCGATAGCAACGACCCATTAGAATCCTTCGTTCTGTTTACCCAAATGGTCGAAAAAAGCAACGATTTTGCAAAACCCAATAAGTTCACCTTTCCGTCTGTGCTTAAAGCGTGTGCAAAAACGGGCAGGCTCGAAGAAGGTAAGCAAACTCATTGTCTTGTAGTAAAGCACGGATTACTGAATGATGGGTTTGTGTTAAGCAATTTGGTTCGAATGTACGCCATGTGTGGTACCATGAACGACGCTCATCTTCTTTTTGATTCTTTCAAAACGAATTCGGAAATGGGTGAAATTGTTTTATGGAACGTAATAATCGACGGCTATATAAGACTTGGCGAACTCAAAACTGCACGAAACCTGTTCGATAAAATGCCGCAAAGAACTGTAATGTCTTGGAACTCCATGATTTCTGGGTACGCACAAAATGGGTTTTTCATGGAATCTTTAGAACTATTTAGACAAATGCAAATGGAAGATGATACCACAATACCAAACTACATCACTTTGATCAGTGTACTTCCAGCAATTTCAAGACTCGGTGCACTTGAAATCGGGAAATGGGTACATTTCTACGCAGTGAAGAACAACATAAACATCGACCCAATCCTCGGTTCTGCACTAATTGACATGTATTCAAAATGTGGAAGCATGGATGAAGCGCTTCAACTCTTTAATTCTCTAACACAAAAGAACGTAATCACATGGAACTCAATAATCACCGGGCTCGCTATCCATGGCCGAGCCAACGATGCTCTTAATCACTTCAAGAAAATGCAAGAAAACGGGGTTTCACCAAGCGATGTAACTTATATCGCGGTCTTAACCGCATGTAGCCATGGTGGTCTAGTTGACCAAGGGTTGTCAGTTTTCAACAACATGGTTCGAACCGGTGGGTTAACCCCAAGGATCGAACACTACGGATGTATGGTTGACCTACTCGGCCGTGCGGGCCGTCTACAAGAAGCCGAAGAGTTCATACTCAACATGCCGGGTGAACCGGACCATGTGGCCTTAAAGGCCTTACTTGGTGCTTGTAAAAAGCACCAAAAATTTGAGATTGGTGAACGTACAGGGCAGCGTCTTCTGGAAACAAATCCAGAAGACGGGGCCCCGTACGTAGCCCTATCCAACATGTACGCCTCTCAGGCGAACTGGGATAGGGTTGCGGAAACAAGGTTGAAAATGAAGGAAAACAATGTTCAAAAAGATCCGGGGTGTAGTTGGATTGAGATCAATGGGGCCATTCATGAGTTTTTTGTTGAGGATGAATCGCATATAAAATCAAAAGATATTCGTATGATGTTGGAAGAAATGATGGAGAACTTGAGTCTGTCTGGTTATAAACCGGACAGGTCTCAAGTTTTCCTAAAAGTGGATAATGATGAGAAAGAATCGGTTTTACGGTATCATAGTGAGAAGATTGCGGTTGCTTTTGGGTTGATTAGTACGAGTCGTGAGATGACGGTTAAGGTGGTTAAGAATTTGCGGATATGTGATGATTGTCACTCCACGTTTAAACTTGTTTCTAGAATATATGGACGAAGGGTTATTGTGAGAGATCGAAAAAGATTTCATCATTTTGAGAATGGATCTTGTTCTTGTATGGATTATTGGTAATGGATGATGATTATATTAATTTAATTACTCCCTATGAAATAAATTTAATCAACAGTCTTTTCCAATTTTGTATCATTGACAGATTTAAGTTATTTGTTTATAGATAAAAAAAAAAAACTTATTAAATTTATTATTAGTTGAAAAGAAACTTCATGATTTTATTATGTCGATCTAATTGTTAAGTAAATAAATATATGTTAAATAGAAAATCACAAAAATAACCATGTAGGAATAACTATTCATGGGAAAGCTTTAAACATAATGTAACATTCCAAAATCACGATAAAAATTTTCATTTTTTTTTAAATTAAAAAAAAATCATTGTTTTCAAATAAAACTGACATCCAGGTCGAGTATCAAATATAAATATCCCAAGATTAGTGCATCACAAATCCCAAAAAGAAACATGTCATTGAAGGATGTGTACGATCACGCATTTGTTTTGCCACTATTATCTGAAGTACCTGAAACAATAAATTGAAATTGTAAGACAAAGCTTAGTGAGTTCCTCCAAGTACCACCATACAACATATAACAACATGCATACTGGGTCCACAACTAACATACTGGATTACCACTGAGTCCACATCATGAGTCTGGTTTGCCTTTCGGCCCACATCTCATGTCTGGCTTACTCCCGAGCCTACAACATAATTATGGCTTGTTATGTCTGGCTTGCTACCAGGTTTATTGGCTTCCGCATAAAGCAACATTGTCTCAACCCATTTATACTATGTCAACATATACATAACAGATAACATATATCCAGCAAACAGATAATCATATAACCAATCAACAGACTAACAGACATTTCTACCAATCACTACCGCATAATAACATCCTATATACCAGGATACATAACCTAGTGGGTCGGCATTGGTGCCTTCGACCCACAAGTACATTGAGGAAAACTCACCTCTCAGTCTGAAAAGGTAGTTGAACACAACACAACTTCGGATACCAACTCTACAGGTCACCTGTACAACAAACAGTGACCTAGTCTTGAACTATTGCTCAAAAATACCCAAAATACCCCTAGGTCAAAAATCCTGGTCAAAAGTCAACTTAGTCAGTCGCCACGTCGTGGCTAGCCTCTAGCCACACTGTGGGGACTACAGGACAAAATAGTTGCAAGGCTGCCATCCGCCATGTCATGGTGACCCTTCGCCACGCCGTGGGGACTGTTCAGAGCAGCTTAATCCAATAAGCTCTTAATCCATAAAACTAGCCATTCAATCTTCCTATAAGGCATTCTCTCATCTAATTGACCATAAAAATCGTTGCATTATAGACATGCATGTCAAATGCATGTCTTGAGCTCAAGCTAGGTTAAATAGAGTAAAAGGAGCCAAGATCTCATGCAAGAGTTCAAAACTCTATAAAACTCCAGATCCAACACTCCTAACCACAAAAGGACTCTGGGGATCCATAAAGGTGGCAACTTTATGGAATCCCAACACTCCAATGTGTCCCAACATGAAGAATAAGACATAGAAACCTAGATCTATGCACAATAAACCAAAAAGCTTAGAACTTGGGGACTTACAAGAGTCCAGAAGATGCACAACAATATGATGATAAGAGTTGCTTGTTGAATCTAAGTCTAAATGACACCTTCTTATTCTTCTAATCCCCAAAAATCAACACAAAAAGCTTAGAGGGAAAGAATGGAGGTTAGGGTTTGCTTGGAGACTAAGAGGGTGTGATGGAGGCTGAGGGGTGAGCAACCCTAGCCATCACATCCCCTTAAATAGGGGCAGAAACCCCAGATATTATGGTTTCTCATTAAACAACTGCCACGTCATGGCGGTCATTTAAAGTCTGTGATACCTTGACCATCACCACGTCGTGGAATGCCTTCACCACGGCGTGGTCCCACCCAAAATCCAAAATACAATAAACTTGAGTACTTCCAAGAATCTGGATGTTATACATAATAATTATAGTATTAAAATGATTACCAATTTCCTAGTGGTTCCAGCAAAATTGGAATAAAATTACTTTTGACCACTACTTTGCCTTTTTCTCTAGCTAGGTTTCACATTCATTCATAGTACACACACATATGTATGTTTACTTTAGTTTCTTAATCGTAGTAGCCTTATTTCACATGAAGGTATCAAAAGCAATTATAAGAAAGTAACTAAGAGTGGCATGGATTACCGAAAAACCGAGGAATGATATTTATGATGATATGCACATGTCATGAGGAGGCTATCACTAACAACAATACGAAGGGTAGAGTCAATGATTGATGGTAGGGAAGAGAGAGGGCATCCTAGAAGGAAGTGGGATAAGAGTGTGATGCTTGACATAATGACATGTATGAGATTGCTTTTACCGTGGACATGACATCAATGGTGTGGAGACGAAACATTAGGGCTGATGGATAGTCTCACCACCTTGTATGCTTTATTTATTTTTTCTTTATTGTGGATAATGGTCTCTTGCTCTTATGTTAATTTACGATTATTCATGTATTTACCTATCTCTATCACTTAGTCCTCCTAGGTTTTGCCTTTTTTGGAAGTTCCTTGTATGCTTATTTACGAAGTACCAATCTTTGTTTCTTACACTATACTATGAATCAGTTTCTTTTTGTGTTCCTTTTCTATAGATTTTCTTTATCCACATGTTAGAGACGATCTAGGTGACAATCATTATCCTTGAAATGGATACTAAACTATTGACTTCTACCTTTACCCCATTCTAATGGAATTCTCAATATATGTTGTTGTTAGATCTTTTATTAAAATCTAAGTTAATTAGAAATGTATATACCCGCTGAATATCCCACTTGTATGGGACATATTTGCATATAAGGCATAATGCTAATGCTATTGCAAGTGGTCAATCTACATTCATAAATTGGCAGACCACAACTCTAACAATGTGACAACCCGAAACTTTTCCCGTTTCCGTTTCGTGATTTCCGTTAATAAAATTTCAAATTCGTTAACTTTTCCGTCAAACTTTTTGGTTTAGAAAATAATCTAGTTATATTCAATTAAATTAAATTATTTGCGAGTCGGAACCAAAAATCGCACGGAAACCCGATTATCTCGAAAAATCAAACATTTCTGGTCTAAGTGAGATTACGACCGTAAACGTGTTTACGGCCGTAAACTCGTTTACGACCGTAAACCTGTTTACGGTCAGTGAAGAGTGGACCCCCCACAACACCCCTATAAATACGATGTCTCCACCTTCATTAGAACATTTCTGGCCAAAAACTCTCTCCTTCTCTCTCTAAGAACCTTAACCGTAAACACTCAAAACGCCTTCAAATTTCGGAAATCATCGAGAAAACCACGTTTGGATCGTTTTGGAACGTCTCAGGGCACTCATCTCTTCGAAATCAGCAACCAGCACCAGTGTTCTTGAGTTTACGGTCCGCCTTCAGAAACCGTAAACTCTGTTCTTGAGTTTACGGTCCAAGCCTTCAAAGACCGTAAACACTGTTCTTGAGTTTACGGTCCGAGCTTTCAAGAACTGTAAACTCTGTTCTTGAGTTTACGGTCCGAGCCTTCAGGAACCATAAACTCCTCTTCGACCGTAAACACCTTTTAAGTGGTGCTTTTGACTGAAAACTCACTTTCATCTATTCGACCAAGTCCCGGTAACATTCCTCAACCAAATTCAAGTGTTCCTCTAACACGTTATCTAACGAAATCGCTAATTTAGATACATATATGTATTTATTTGATAATAGGATTCCGTTAAGTGTCACGTGCAATAACTCGAGGATCTTCATTTCAGTCAACGATTTCACAACAAGAACTGTGAGTTCATACCCCTACATTTTTCCGTATTTTTTAATGTTTTCAGGGGGGGAATACAAGCTAAACATAAATGTTTTCAAAAACTTATGCAAATCTCATACATTAAATCCCTTTTGTACTATGCTGAGCATAAGGGACGTTTTCACTAAAATTTGCATAGTTTTCCGGACACGCTATTCACTATACATGCAAATTATAATCGGTATAGTTTGGGATTTTTCTAAAACATATCAAGTATAGAAACTTTCACTACTAAACATATGTGCTAAAACAGAAACCGTTTACAGTTTACATCACTACTTTATCATGGTATTCATAACTAAAATTATCACTATATACGGTATACATACGGATTTTCACTACGGTAGAACGCTACTACACTACATGTAAACTAGATTGTACGATACTGTGAGGCGCTACTTCACTACTGTACCATTAGGTGTACAAGGGATAAATCCTACCACTGTATAACTAGAGTCTCCTGGAGGGAGAGCGTGAGATTTGTGAATAGATCTATTCGGGACTGACAATCCCACATCTGGACTGCTAGCTACAGTTAGGCGGGCACGCCTGAGATGTACAAATGTCATTTAACTCGACGCCTGAAGAACGTTGGAAAGGTCTCTAGTCATATCAAGCATGGTTATACGACTCACATTATGTATAATTCACCTTTAGTTTACAACCTGGCACTCTTCAACGGTTTTATTTATATTAAATAGAACTAACACACACTACGTATACTGGCTGAAGTCAGGGTTTTCAAACAGAACCGATTATGTATTGGTTTCACACACAAATACCTATACTTCATGATTAGCTCTAGCTAGTCACATGAGGTAGTATTTTCGCATATCACTACTGTTTTCAATAACGAACATTCATGGTTTTATACAGAATCGATAACGCTACTTACTCACTAAAGAAAATATCGGATTTTCTTGGAAACATACAAGACATTCATGGTTCATTACAAGACTTATAACACTACGTTTTCACTAAAGAAAATATCGGATTTTCTTGAAACTTTACAACTTTTTGACTAGCTCATCAACAAGTTTTCATTACAAATTACCGCTTATGAACTCACCAGCTTTATGCTGATATTTTCAAACTGCTTGTATTCTCAGGAAATCAGTAGACAGGTACTTGCTGGATTTTGAGGAACTGAAGCATTAAGAGTTTTTAAGTTTTTACTATAAAAAACTATTGGATGTA